AGTTTCTGAGAACTTTTCGATAGCAACTTCTCTTAGTCCTTGGGAAGAACTCACTTGGTTCCTCCGAGTACTCATACTCAAGGCATGCAAAGTTTCCAATGCTTCCTGAGAAGGGTGTCAGATGACAGTCTTATAAAGTTCTCTGACAGATAGGCTCATATCAGATTTCATTTCTCGTATTAGTGTTATAAGACAGTTCCCATAATTTCCATTTCCCAAGAACAGGATACATCACCAAAGTATTTTAAATTATTTATTTTTTTTTCAATCTATTTTTTCTTTCCTTTCTTTGTGTGTGTGTTAAGTGTAGGGCTCAGGGGCACACATGCTGTAGTGTGAGTGTGACTGTCAGAGGACAACTTCTCCTTTTACCACCTGGGTTCAGGGGTCATTAGGCTTGGCAGGAGGTGCACACACCTGCTAAACTGTCCCACTGGTCCCCAAATAATACACTTTCAAGGTAAAGATGCTCACTCAAATCCAATTTTTTTTTTTCTCGAGATACGGTTTCTTTGTGTAGCCTTGGCTGTCCTAGACTTGCTTTGTAGACTAGACTGGCTTCGAACTCACAGAGATCTGCCTGCCTTTGTCTCCCTGAGTGCTGGGATTATAGGTGTACCCCACTGCTCCCGGCTTCAAATTCAAATGCTAAGAAAAGTTTCTTAATTTGTTTTATTTTTCTATGGCAAAATACCCAAGCCTGGGGCATCTGTAAAGAACAGAAGTTTATTGGCTCACAGTCCTAGACTTCCAGAGAGCCACCACTTACTGCATTGTGACATGGCAGAGACCACCAAACTGTGAGACAGAACACATGTGCTGGCGAGTCTTGCTCAGTCCTCACACAGAACCGCTAATGCTATCTGGGCCTTGTCCCCTGTTCCCTCATCTAATGCTAATTATTTCCCTAAAGTCCTCCCTCCAAGCCCTGTTAACACACAGTTCCAGCACGAAGTTTCCAACACATAAACTTTACAAAAACACATTCAAAACAGAGGCAAATGAGCATTTAGGAAGTGTAAGGACATTTCTTCTAATCACACTGGTGCCAGTGAACAGGCCCACTGGCCCATTCCACTCTGGTAACTTCAGAGCACTTATCACACCTGAGGAAGATGGTCCTGGAGACGCCATGTGTCAGAGCCACCCAGCAGTTCAATGTCAACTGCAAGATCCTCCACAGACACGGCCTGTGACTCCACCCACCAGGCTTGACAGCTTCACCTCCCTGTCAGTTCATCTGAGTTTGTAGTCAACTTAAACCCAAGCCCAGTCGTACCCAGTGGCTACCCAGACTGGTGCCTCGTCAGCTGCTCATTTGCACTCCATCCTCTCTCACTGAGTCAAGCTTCATCTCCATTCTCGCTAACTGTTAACATGCCAGCTGGAATGGTGGTCTAGGCACCTCTTCCTGACTTAAGAAGCAGCGGTGCTTGCACAACACGATCCAATGCTCTAAAGAACTTCAGAGGACACCAAGCCTTCTGTAACCCCTTCCCAGTCTGCTTCCAGGATGCCCCATGGCGCTGTCCACCTACGCCTTCCACCTCACAGTTTAGCCAAACACAGGACAGACTGCCAAGCAGTGTCCCTCTGAACCCAGAGAAGCACCGTGCTGAGTCGTCACCGTCTTTTTTGACTCAAGCAAGCAGCAATGACTGAATCTTGTGACCTTGACCACACCCTCTCTCCATCACCCCCAGAGACAGGTTGGCAGTGAGCACACTCTGTCTTATACCTGTTAGTAAACTAGCAGCTGCTCGGCTGGTTACTTTTCCTATCAAAAGAGTGTGCTCAGTGGACAGCTGCCTGTAGGAGAGCAGAGCACACGAACACCCTGCACAAACGCGATTCCAGCTGAATCGAGAACCTCACCGTAAGACCAGGCTGAATCTGATAGAAGACAAGGGTGAAGAATAGCCTCACACTCACTGCTGCAGGAAAGGACTTTCAGATTAGACACAACCTCACAGTCCAACAGCACAGCGCTAAGAACAACAATTGACAAATGGGTCCTCATGAAGCCGAAAAGCTGTATGGCAAAGGGAACCATCCTTCAGACAAAGTGGCAGCCTACAGAGTGAGAAAGATGTTTACGAATTATACATATGATACCAATTATTTACCTGAGAGAGGGTCAGTATCCAAACTATATAAAGAACTAAAGAACCCCAACATCAAGAAAACAAATAACCCATGGAAATCCCCAAAATATCAAAGGCTATTACCAACACTATTGGTTGCTCTCCACAACCTGTGACAAGGCCTTAGGGATGATGACAACACTCACATACCTCACTGAACATGGGGAAGCAGAACTGCTGCCGAACTAGAGATTTCACCCCTACTGACTAGTATTCATGGTACTGGAAGGGACTCTGAGGAAAAAGGGAAACACCAAACCAGCTACAAACCCGGCAACCTTCAACAGTGACCTGCTGCAGGGAATACTTACTGGTATAATAATGGCACAAGTGTTAGAAAGCTAACCAACCACTTTTTTTTTTTTTTTTTAGATTTAAGGCCCACTCCATGATATCCGACACTGCTAAATGGCAAAGACCTGAGACTAAATAAGCCACGGGTCTACAGGAAAACCTAAAACTGTTATTGCGTTAAAAAAAAAAAAAACATAGGAAAAAAAGATTCCTAATGCTGTATTGCTATACCCATACGTTGGTTTCTCACTAATCTATCATCAAGGAAGCTTCTGGCAGTAGATGCGAAGTAATAATTAGAGCCACAATTGAACAATGTGCAGAGTGTGAGAGACTCTGGTGTACTTGGTCCCAAAGGGGATGCTTTCATCCAATCCTCTCCCTCAGGGCTCAGGAATATATGGGGAGAGGATGTGGGAAACTCTAAGATCCAGAGGTGATGAATGCTGCCAAGGAAACAGTGTCTTCTAGCCACAACGGGATAAATGCACACATGAACTCACGGAGACTGTGACAGCACGCACAGGCCTGCACAGCTTCAGGCTGGATGTGGACCCAGCCCTGAGAAGCAGCGGAGCAGACACGAGGGCCCACCACTAGCCAAGAGTTACCTGCAACGGATACCTGCTGCCAAAGGAAAAAAGATCAATTTTCTCCAGGGGAGTCTCACTGGGGACACCAGTAACATTTCAGAGAACAACCTATGCCCAGGAGCAGTTGGGCAACACGAAACAAACTCAGTGGCATTTCTGTAGACTTTCAATCTCAGTGTGCTTTGTTTGGGCATTTCTGTTTTGTTTTGTTGGTTTTGTGTGCTTTTATTTTAACTTTTTTTTTGTATTATTTGTGTGTGTGTGTGTGTGTGTGTGTTGTTTTATTTTTGTTTGAAAGAGAGAGAGCGGACATAGAGTTGGGTAGGTAGGGAGGTGGGCAGGATCTGACAGGAGGGAAGGAAAAACCTGCAATCTATTGTGAGAAGTTTTTTTTTGTTCGTTTGTTTAAAAAAATGTATGCTTAGAAATTTTTTGAATTTATAATGTCATGAATGAAAGACCAACATTGAAATGTCACTCAAAATGATCCTAGTAATTTTAAAGGTAGCAATAAATTATCAATTAATTATCAAATAAGGTTTCTGTACTCAAAATCATGGTGATTATCTATAAGGAACCCAAGGCACAAGGCATAAATTAAATTGACAGAATGAAAAAATGTTATCTGTCATCCTCAAGGCAGTATGCCCAAACATGAAATTTTCTCCATTTAGAATCTTCCACTGAAAACTGACAGCAGTGACCCGAGTATTATAAAGCAACCCATTTGTTCTATTCTATAAATGCAATCAAAGCTAAGGCAAAAATGCCTCTTTGAACAGCAAATTTTTCTATAATCCCCACAGGAAAAGTTTAGTCTCTCATGAGGCTGGAGAGTTCCCCACACTAAACCCATAGAATGCCCCATAAGTAATACCTAAGTCAACTACTGTACAAATTGATTGAAAAAAAAAATACCAATCAAAACAAATCTATAAATAATACAATTGTGCTCAGTAAAACTTTTGGGTACCTGATATGCACCAACTTTTATATGACTAAAGTATATAATATAAATATCAGGATATGATGAAGTAACTTTGTTAACCTAAGGATTTAATTTTCTATTCCTGTCATCTGAAATAACTTAGCAAATCCATCTTTTATTTTCATCAATATGACACTAACTCTGAAATGAATCTGAATTTTCTGTTGCAAACAAAACGAAACGAAACGAAACAAAATGAAGAAAGAACAACAACAACAGCAATCCTGTTGCACACTGCATTCCATCGAGTATAACTAAAATGATGACTGGGTTGCAAACGGAAGGAAAAGGGTTGGGAGCTGGATGGATGGCTCAGTGGTTAAGAGTTCTTCTGGAGGACCTGAGTTCAGTTTCCAGGACCCATGCCTGGGGCGCACAGGTTGCCTATCACCCCTCCCCCAGCTCCACAGGATATGACGCCCTCATTTGATCTCTGCAGGCACTGCACACGCGTGTGCACACGAGTTTAAGACAAACTTAAGGATAGAACGTGCGAGTTCGTGCGCATCGCACACACACACGAGCACAACACAGAACACACACAACAAAGAAGCCTGTAGTGTTTTACACGGAGGCTTAACATGTACGACATGCCTTTTTTGCCTTTCTTTAAAAAAAAAAAAATTTACTCAGGAAGAAAAGGACACGGCCATTTTAAGGCATCCAACTACTACTATGCAAAGAACGTATACAGGGCGTCTGGGCTGTAAACGGTGCCAACAGGAAAGGTAAACTGAATGAAATGTTGCTCATAGCCAGAGTATTACAGCGAAGCACACTTTAAGATGGAAATCGCTGAGAGCCTGTCTGTTTTTTGTTTTTAGGTTCCCTATCACATTTTACTTTTGACTACGATATTTTGGGACACCACAAACTTGCAGTAACTTAATTTCCTTCGAGAGCTGAATAGTTCTGTAAGTTTCCAGAGTTCTGGGAAATGCCATTTTCCAGTGGTTTCTTGCTTTTTAAGTGTGCACTTACGTCCACATCACAGCCGTACTCTGATCCATCCAGGAGTGTCACTTTGCACTGCATGCTTTTAGGCCTTTTCACGATCTTCAGTGGGGACCGCGAGAGTTTGCTGCTGGATGATTTCTGGGAGAGTTTATCGTCTTCAAACTGCTGATACTCAAGTTGTTTCGCAGCTGTGGCAGCAAAGTCGCGGTCCTTGTCACTGGCCTGTGAACAGCAACAAGGAGCACCTTTCAAAACACACAGGAAATGGCTACTGGGTTGCTCAGACACGGGGCAGCTTCAGAGAATCAGGCTGCATTCCCATTTCCTAGAGGATGGGAGGAGCTGTCTCAGGATGCTAGAAAGTCAACACACCAACCTGAATGTTCCTAAAGCTCAGTCACACCTCCATAACTCTACCCACTTACATGAATGTACCACTCGGGCCTTTTCTCAGCTGACCCAAGACTTCAGAGAAGGGAATTAGCTAGTTCTATCAAGATCTCACCAAAGAAGCAACACCATTCCTGACTTTTAAAGGGCACTGGATAGCGAAGGCCTCGAATCACACCTGGGTTGCTTTTTATACTGTTTACATAATTCATCAGATGCGGCTACAGTGCCTGACCTGTTAGATGTACCCTATACATTTACAAGATACCTTATAAATACTGAGGCTTAGAGAGCCGCAAGTGTTAATCTTGTCAGTAATTTTACAATGGCTGAAATTTTTGGTTCTGCTCTGAATCAGTTCAGTGAAGTCAGCAGCGCTGAAGTTCAACACAAAGTAATCCCCTGGGTCTGTTTCTCTTCCTGGTAATGAGCTGGTGTGAGGACAGATCAAATGTACGCCAAGCTTTAATCCGCTTCTGAATCTCTATGCTCTGTTCTCGGCCAGCCTCACAACTGCAGAGAAACTTGTCATGGAACACGGAATTCTCCCCTGAGCCAGCCCCCGGCATGTCTGAACACTGCTTGCCAGATGTTTCAGCACCCCTGATGCCTGGCTGGGTGGTCCGCAACACCAGCAGTGCACAGAAAGACACACTAGTCTTCCGGGCCAACTCTCAGAATTAACACAGGATTTCTCCTACAGACAGGCCATCAGCCTGGAACTAAAGGTACCTCGAGTGAAGGCAGAACTGATGGTTTATCATTTCAGCTTTTATAACTCTCTATAATCTTTTAAGCATAGAGTCATTTTTGGAGAATTTGTTTTAGGCCTTTGGTATAGATTTCGGTTTTTCCAGCATTTCTACCTTGTTTTTCATATATAAGATTGATAATGTCCTTTCTCCCACAAATGTGACCACTATATCTATGTATCTATCTATCTATCTATCTATCTATCTATCTATCTATCTATCTATCTATCTATC